AATCATGAAAAAAAAATAGAGAGGAAATATAGAGAAAATAAATTCACTAGTATGATTTGAGCTAAGAAAATTGCAAATGATGTGTAAATACAATCAATATTTTGTGAAAAAAGAAGAAAAAAAAACAATTTGATGAGAATATTGATATTGAAGAAACACGATCACCACAAGATTCTTTTAAAATTGATTACTTTTACTATATTATAGATCCAACAATTTCTTCACTTAAAAATATATTATGAAAATTTTTAAGTCAATAAGACGATGATAATCTGAAAGCATATTGTATTCATATTGAAAATACATTAACATGATACATTTTCTGACATTAGCGGTTTAGATTTATTTTTTGAATTAAAAATATTAAGAGAGGTCTTACAAGATCAAATTGATTGTCCCGTTAAAATATTAAATTATATATAAAAAAAAAGTAAACACTTTTCCAAAGGCATATATTACTTATAGGATATTATTAAATAAACAGTTGCTTCCACTAAAAGAAGCTTTTCAAAATTAAAATTAATGAAATCGTATTTAAGGTCGATTTTGTCACAATAAAAATTAAATGGCATATTGTACGAACTTAGGTTATCAAAATTTAATACATGATTTTGTATCTCCAAAATTAAGAAAAATAAATTTTAGATAATATTTTTTACAATAAAATTTCTCAATCAAAATTTTACCTAAGGTCTCGTATCATCTGGAACCGTGCCTGAACATAAAGTTTAATACATTGTTAATTGGCATAGTGATTTTCTCCTTCCTTTGACCTTGTGTCTTGACAGTAATAGATTGGGCATTTTATTTTAAATATATTTTTATTGTTATTTTTATATTTTCTTTTAAATATATTGTTATTCTTACGTTTTTGTTTCTTTTTTTTTAAGTATCTTTTTGTTTATTTTTCTTCAACTTAAAAATTTTTTTGGTTATTTTTTTAAAATTTTAAATATATTTTCTAGTGATGCTTAAATTTTTTTAAAACATACTTTTGTTTATTTTTCTTATTTACATCTATTTTTATTGTTGAGTTCTGCTTTAGCCTAATTATTTTTATTATCTTGTGATTGAATCTCAATGTCAGCCTATTTTGATTTTTAAATATTTTTTTAGAGAAAAATATTTTTATTTAAATTAAAAATTTAAACTGTTATATGTCAAAATAATCTTTTTTTTTCCTTACAAAAATATGTCTAATTACGTTTGTATCATGGAATCATATTTTTCTTTTTATATAAAAAATATATTTTTAGAAAAAATATAGAAACAAGTATATTTTAGGTTCAAAATTTAGGGCAACAATTAGATTAAAGAGATACATATTTATTTTAGATTAAAAACAGTAGGATAATAATTATATGTTAGAAGAAAGTTATTTGAAAGAATTCTAATTTGAATTGAGATATTTTTATAACAAATAAATTGACATTTAAAATATTGGAGAAGAAAATTATTTTAAAGAATACTAATTGATACATTGTTATAATAAAGAAATTGAAATGTTGGATAAAAAAATTTATTTTAAATAATACTAATTGAAATTGAGATATTTTATAATAAGTAAATTAAAATAAAAAAGGTTAAAAGAATGCTGGGGCATGAATTTTAACTAAAGCAACTGGGCAACAATATGCACTAGCCAGCCATTACACATGAAGATTTTGAGATTGGATGTAAAGAAAACGTATATATTAGATAGAAATTCACGTTTGAAAAGTCACGTCAAATTGAAGTTGCATTATCGTCTAGACATCACAAATAATGGCTGCATTTTCACTAAAATCGTTACTATTGACTACATTTTACCAGGTGCGATTTCACTATCCTAATTTTTAAAATGGTTTATTACTTACATTATTTTTGAAAAATTGTCAATTTGGGCATAACTTTTAAATTATGAGTATCTATTTTTCAAAAAAAAAATATAAATTCATCCTGCTATAAATTAAAAAAAAAGGTCAGTCTTATTTTTATTAAGTAAAATATAATGTTTGAGAGATTAAATTTAAATAAATTAAGATTTAAATGAATGTATGAAATTTAAAAAGGTTGAATGTGGAAATTTTTTTCATTTTACTTCTTTAAAATATTATATCTTTAATTATAATTAATTATAGAGCTTTAGTTGAGTTTAAATGTCAAAAGTTTCATAATTTTTTAATGAAATATAAGGTAAATTTCTACCAACATTATTTCACCAATATAATATACTAGTATATATATTTGAAAAATAGTATCCCTATAGGCAATTCAACCTTTAAACGACCTTAGCTTATTTTTAGGCCATGAGAACTTTATGAGTGAAAACTTTGTGGGAAAAAACAAAACCTTGACATGTGATCATTTTGAGAATTAAATATAAGTCGGTCTCACTTTATAATTTAAGTGGTCATTGGTCGCATTAATTAACTTGATTTCCTTTATACAAAAAATAAAAAGATTTCATTTTCACTTTTTTTATTTTATATTTGTATAATACAAAATTCTGTCATTGTTCATCAAGTGGTTCTATGGTGTAGTGGTTAGCACTCTGGACTTTGAATCCAGCGACCTGGGTTCGACTCCCGGTAGGACCTTTTTCATTTTTCCTGACATTTTTCTTACATTTTTCAAAAACGTTGATAAGATATATAACAAGAATTGTTACTTCAAAAGAAAAAAAGAAAAAGAAAGAAGAATGGTTAACTTGATGAAACGGGTCAAATGCTTCTTTATCATGTTATATATTTTTTATGATTATATATATTTTTATGATTTTTCTTTTAATTTTATTTGTATGATTCCATAATATTCATCGATATTTTGATAACATGTACCTAAATAGAGTCAGATTGGCATAAAATAATCTGAATAAGCACAATAATGAAATAAAAAATCTCTAACTCATACAATGCATTAAGTCATCTTAGAACTAAATGAGAGTATGGAGGTTTGAACCACTCATCTCAAAGGAAKGAGTAAACGTCATTAACAATGTACTATGCTCATTTCTCTACAAGACTATAAAGTATATATTTCAGTCTCTCATCTTTTCTAAAAGCGAAATTTTAGTTTTGCTATTTTTGCATCTAATATCAACTCACCCAATATTCATCCTCGCCAACTTAAACATTACTCAATTGGTTTAGGTATCTATTTATGGCCAAAAAGTCGTGATTTCAAATTCTCGCCCCTACATATTGTACTAAAAAAAAATAAAATAGAGATAAATGAAAAAATTAATTGTATCTTTTAAGAATGAGATGAACCTTTTGAAAACTTAGAGCCTAAAATAAAACAAAAATTTAGAGACCAAAATTTATATTTTGAAAAGTAATTTAGATAGTAAAATAGACCTTGAAATTCATGGAATTAAAATATTTAAATACTATTTTGATCTCATACTTTTAGTTTTGATTTATTTCGGTATTTGTATTTCCAAAATATTATTTTGGTATTTATACTTTATATTTTTGTCATTTTAGTCCTCATATTTCAAAACATTCATTTTGATTTCTATACTTTTGGAAAGTTATTGTTTTAGTCATTTTTGCAAAACTTTAACATAATTTATTGAGTACAACATTATAACTACATTTTAAGAAATTTATTCAGCATAGCATTACGTTGAAATTGTAATAAAAAAAACATGATAAAAAAGAAAACAAAGGAACCAAAACGATACTTGTTTAATGTAGAATGATAAAAAAACAGATGTTTCGATCACATAGATTTAAATAACAAAAATTGAGAGTCCAAGAACCACTAAACAAAAATATTGAAAGTAAAGACCAAAATAGTATTTAAACTAAAATAAAATAGATATATATTAAATGAGGAAATACTTGGTTGCTAACTTATGAAGATAACCCATCTTTATAAAAATTAACTTATTATTTTTTAAAAAAATCCATGTTTTTGGGTTGAAGTAATTTATAGATTAAACCCATTTGTTTGGGTTATAAAATTTATTCAACCTAAACAACTTTTATCAAATAATAAACTCAACCCAACCATGAAATATTTGAGTTAAGTTGATTCATATTATTCTTATAACGAAAAAAAAAGTGAATGATAATATCTTAAACATTTATTTATTTTTTGTCTAACATTAAAATCAAGATCGACAAGTCCATGTTTATTTATGTGGTGCAAAAAAAACTTTAAAGAATTGTTTTTAAAAGCAATAGTTTAATTCATTAAGAGTTATTGAACGAAATAAAATTAAAATATAACTAAATATAATTTTTATGGTGATTAAAATAAATAATTTTTATATTAATATCAAAATGAGTATGACTCAGTAATAAGTGACATGTATCTCCAATCAAGAGATTATGAGTTCAATCTCTCATCCTACATGTACTAAAAAAAATAATTTTTATATTAATAATAAGTTCGGATTGAACTCAAACTTATTTTAGTGAACAGTAAAACTAACTCAATTTATAAAATTTTTATTTCGCACGTCGGGATGAGTTGACCAATTTTTTTTAGTCATCTAATTTTTGCATCAGTATCTAAATATTTTACTATTAAATACCAGTTTTCAAGGAACCACGTGGGGTGGCACAAAACCTGCCTCTCTTGGCTTAAGTCTAGATATTTTTTCCTTCCCACATGCCACGGCCACAACAATATATTTTTATTTACTTTTAAAAAAGAAAAAAAAGATATATATATATAATTTATGCTATTTTCTTTTTTACCTCTAAAACATTTCATCCACAGTCCGTCGCCGGAGCTATGGAAGGCGAAGGCTACAAATTCGTAAAAATCGTCCGTCAGAATCGAAGCTCCGCCGTGTTCCACCTCCGCCTCCACCGCCCCTCCCACCACAATGCCTTCACCACCGACCTACTCTCCGAATTCCGTCGAGCCCTCTCTT